CTTTCTCTCCTTGTTTTAATCATTCTTTCACTTGGGTGTAATTTGTTAATTGTGTTCTTGCTTCCACTACCTTCTTAACCCGGAAAAAACGTACGTATCTCGTATACGAATACAACGTACGGGGTAGTCGTATTCAAATACAACGTACATACGTTATAGAACGAGTTTTAGGATACAACTTTTCAGAAGCCTGTAGTACCGCCATTGTTTTTATTTTTATCTAAAATTTGGTTGGGAATTTCGCCAAGACCCTCAGGCAAAAGTTGTTTGCATTGCAATGTTGTACAACATACTTTTTTTTTGATTTTTTACTGAAGTTTTTTTAAAATCAAAATTATGAAAAAATCAGTAAAAAACATTTTCATCCTTGTTTTTATTTTTTTCTCAAATTTTCTCGTGAATTTTGATAAGACCCTCAGGCAAACGTTGTTTGTGTTGCATTGTTGTATAACATTTTTTTTTTTTTCGGATTTTTTAATTTTTTTTTGAAAAATCAAAGTTCCAGAAATTCGAATACAACATACGTACGTTGTATTCGAATACAACGTACGTACGTTATATCCGAACGTACGTTCTATTCGGGGAAAAACAAGTGATTTATGAAAACCCGATTTCCAGAGGTAATTCGAATAGAATGTACGTACGTTTTTTTTCGGGTTAAGAAGGTAGTATTGAGAGCTTCAATTCCTCATTATTTGTCAATGCCCTCCTGCCTCCCCTATGCCCTCTAGCCAATATGTCTGGGACTTTGGAAAGCTAGTCATGGATAACCATGTATGTACCAGGTAGCTTCATGAGTAGTAGCAGAGTGGCAGCATGCAGCATTAGTTTCGTTACGGTCGGACGGGGTGTACCATGACTGGTATGGGGTCCACGGCGTGTTACGCCATGGGATATGATTTGACACACACACACAACACACACACAACACACACAACACACACAACACACACAACACACACAACACACACAACACACACAACACACACACACACTGGTGACACCTACTAATGGCGATCCCCTTTCTTGCTCTTGAGTGCTGGCTCTCTGGCAGTAGTCACTAATGCTTGACTGAATGAGCGCATGGCTTGGCCACCTCCTAGCAGCAGCCTCGTCCAGTGTGTGTTGCTACTTCCCTTCCCACTCAATACGCTGAGGCTGAGGTACCTACTGGGTCGGCCTGGCATGCTTCTGGAAGAATGCAGATCACCGGGATGCCCGGGGCTACCAGGTCTCTAGACGTCCCCTTCCCCTCCTGACTGGCCAACAGAGACAAGCCGCTCCGGACTGTTTTGCTTGACCAATCGGCTGAAGACCTACTGGTCCTCATCCATGCGAGGCCCCTGTGCCTCACACGTATAATACAACCTCACCTAATACTATCAAGCAAACTGTATTACACTAAGTTATGACACCCCACCCAACACCCGTGGAGATGAACTAAACTTCCCCCAACTCCTTGACCGTCACCCGATCTGTCCGTTGGTTAACTTGCAGACTCATACCTGAGATTATGGTCTGGGAAGATGAGACGTGGGCTAAGCTAGTATCGTCCCACTCATCAATTTACTAGGTAGAAAACCTGTGTAATATGAACTTGCTCCTGTCCATGTCAATCTGTACAAAAGCTGGTTAATAAAACCAAACTTTACTATGATGACTAATACTGCGGTGGCTGGGCTGATCTCTCCCTCACCTTTCGTCTTGAACCTGTGTCTATACTTGCTGGTGATAAGCCATCGCACTGTTGCACCCCATAATAGACTGGGCCCTTGTTCTTTGCAAGAAAAGAAAAAAGCTTTAACACCCAACAGGAACTTAATGCTTCTTTGGGTATCTGATGCCGTCTGTCAAAGTCTGCACGGCTTTCCCCAAGTCCTTTTCTTTATTTTTTTGTGTTTTTTCCAAAGCGGGTAGCCCCTAACATTATTGTCGTTATGATCCTGGCTATTTTCGGAGTGGAATGAGACAAAGACAGACAGTGCCATCCAATTGCAAATGACACGAAGGAATTTGCGAAGAGAAATAGACAGAGGAGGATGAGGAGGAGGAGGAGGAGGGGGAGAAGGAGAAGGAGGAGGAAGAAGAAGAAGAAGAAGAAGAAGAAGAAGAAGAAGAAGAAGAAGAAGAAGAAGAAGAAGAAGAAGAAGAAGAAGAACGTCACATTCCGCCATCTCACTTCAACCTCCCTATCTCCCTGAACCTCTCAAGATTCACACTCCACAAACATAGCTGGAGCTGGAGCGCCCGGTCTCCTTCTTCCTCCCCAGCGCTGAGAACACCAACGCTTGCTCCAGCAGCATGACGCCAAACTTGCACAACGCAAAAGCAGGGAGAGCTCATTGCTATCCTGAATGATATACCGGGCAACTTGCCACTTGGGTGGTGACTTTCTAGGCCGCTCGGCCTCCCAAGCATCCGGTACCTTCCTCCTTTTGGAGGGAAACATCACTGCAGGTTGGATATCGTCCGCTACAGGCCCTAGACTCTTGACTACTGGACTAGTACACCCCTAGGCCTAGGCCTACCGAACTTCTAAACTTCTCTTGGCCTCTAAAGGTACTAACTTTTTGTCCTTTTCTGCCTACCTACCTGCTACTCAAGTATTTTCCTGCCCACACGGACCTAACCTACCTTCTACTCGAGTGGTTTCAACTATGCGGGCCTAGCCTACCCCTACACCCCGCTGCAACCCACAAAGCCACGGCCACAGGTAAGTACCAGGCCCGAGGGCCTTTACCCTGGTGGGTCACACACACACACACACACACACACACACACACACACACACGCACACACACACACAAGCAATCATGCACTCAGACAAGCGCATGGAAACCAGCAAGCATGCACACACAGCCTTAGAAATCTCAGCAGAAAGCGGGAATCTCAGAAAGTCACACATTCCAGCCGCAAAACTCAGAAATCAGCTGAGTTCTCAGTCGGTGATTTTGCAGATCATTGCATCGTATTCATCTGATTCAATCTGAGCTCACACTCATTACCAGTTTACCAACAGTTACATGTGCGTATCATTCAGCACATGGGTCAGGTGCACTCTTCACGACAATCTTCAGCAAAAAGATGATTTTGAGGGTTGACAATGACATGCAGTGCCTACCCCTAACAACATCATTGCGTACATTCCAGATTGTCCGACAGACCGCTGCCCACACCACTTCAGCCACATACTCTGCTTCCCAGGTCGGCTGCAAACCTTGTACTGGCAGTCTGGGACCTAAGAATCAGTTCCTTGCTGGCTGCAACAGAGGACCAGGCAAGGGAGATTCCTCTGCTACTTCTTTTTCTCCCTCCCCCCCCCCCCCCCCCCCCTTTTTTTTTATGGCCCTGGATCCAATTCCATTCTGGGGAGCATCAGTCCGGTTCCTATTCCACCGGCAAGTCAGATAAAATATTACATCATGAAACACACACACGCTTCCGTCCGTCTGGCCAAAGGAACCCTGACCAGCAAAGATTACTCCAGCATCGTGGAGGATTGACTGCCAGCTTGCCTTGCTTCCACCTTTCCTCTCAGGTCCACTGTTTGAACCTGTCAGATAAATGATAAAGAGCAAGAAAGGTAAAAAAGCTACGGAAGATGCAATCTCGGAATTTGCCCTTCAATATTACGTGGCCTGTGATAGATCTTGTCCATCTGCTGGGTGGGATCTCTGCCTTCTCCACCCTGCTTCTGAGTTGTGCCAGTCTTTCCACCGTAAGTGAAACTCGTTTATCTCTGCTACTTCGCCCCCTGCAAGTCAAACCTTGGTGAATTTTGCCTTGATTCTTCTCTGTTGCTCTTCGTCATAATGGCATGGAGTGTCTCGTCTTATGTCACTTACAAAGAATCTCTGCCTGAATCAAGGTCCTTGTCTCCGCCCATACCTTCTCCCTTGGAGTTGAGAGTCCCTCTCCTCTGCTACTTCCTTTTCCCACCCTATTTCCAAAAAGGCTTCACTGCCAGACATTCAATCCAAAGATGGGAACAGACTCCTGCTGATGACACACTGCACACACAGGATCATTGCAGCTGCTCTTCTCTGCCGGAACTGTTACTTGGCTTGGATAGGTGCGGAATGAGCCACAGGACGCCTGCTTGAGTCAGATCAGGATGCCCAGAAAGGCTTCACTGCCAGACATTCACTCCAAAGACGAGGAACAGACTCTGGCTGATGGCAAGCTGCACACACTGGATCATTCCAGCTGCCCTTACTTCGCCTTGAACTGGGCACTTTGCACTGCCAGGTGCAGAATGAGCCACAGGAGACCTTCTTGCTTACAGATCAGAATGCATCATTAAGAATTCCGCAAAACTCCTGGTCGTTCCCTGTGACAAAGCTGGCAGCTGATGGTTAGAAAGGCGGCACCTCCTTTGGCCCACCTTGCTCCTCATAGTGATGTCTTATCATACTCGAGCATGAGAGATCTGTAGAACCCTTTCATAGACCCATTGTGAAATGGGACCGGATGAGCTTGCTGATCAGAGGCTGACCACTCCCACAATACGGGATCAAATTCCAGGTCCTCTTCGCATGTTCCTACTTTCTCAACAGTGTTCATCGGCACTTTTCTTGACCATATCTGGTCATAATTCCAATCAGACACGTAAATATGAGTACGCACTTTGTTGACACTATCAGTCATCACATCCTCGGCAGTATCTTTTGCCATCATCCCAGCCAGATATATCCAGGAAAGTCCTTGTACGAGTATAGCATTTATGGAAAACTGCGACTTGATGGGAAACAGTGATGACAAGCACACATGTATTTTCTTGACAGCATCTGGCCAATAACCCAGTCAGTTGTATTGAGGAAGTCCTTCTACAAGTGTGGCCATCATCATAAGCAGCTGTGATGTGGATTCCACTGACCCGGCCTTCCTTTCATTTGCCTGCAAATTTCCATTTTCGTATTTTCTTTTCTCGTTGCTCTCAGCCAGATGTGACATCACTGACTTGCCACAGAAACAATCAAAGACTGAAATGGGAGTGTTACTCTTTTCTTCATTCTTCATTTGGCTGCTGTCATGCTATCGGATGAGTACCACGCAGCCAGCGATCGTTTGTTCGACGGTCCACAATATGCCGCTCCTCATTTTCGGCACACCCCTCTCCTTCCACGTTCGCTGTAGGGAGGATGAGTACCATGCAGCCAGCGATCGTTCCTTCCACGGTCCACAACACGCCGCTCCTCCTTTTGGACACACCCCTCTCCTTCCACGTTCGATGTAGGGAGCCAACGGTTGACATCAGAAAAACGGTTCAAAAACCCAATAGTGCATCCTGTGCGTATGAAGGCTCCATCAAACATGCTGCATGAAACCTTAAAAAAAATTGGCATGTAGGATCCACTTGGGCCGGCCCCAATGGCCAATCGGTTTCAATACGTTCGAGGGGATGGAAAGAACAGTTCCCAGTAATCCAATTAGTGGCAGTTATTAAATTACCCACTCAATATGAGATCCCTGACCACGGCAGGTGTTTTCCAACTCCCGATGGTGTTCCCTCATATGCAGGCTGCTGTCGTCCTGACATTGGGGGCCTATTGACAATTTTTTCTCAACAGATTTCAACAGTGTTTATGGGAACATCTCAAAATTTCCATGCTCCTTCAGAACACAGGCATCACAAATCCATGCAAAGGAGCTCGTGTCCCTGTATCTCACCCTCGATAACTGGAACTTGTCTCTTATATTCACCTCCCTCTTCACAAGTGTCTGCTCCAGCCAAGCAAATGCTTCTCTTCTTTTGATATCATCTTCTGGACCATCGTCAAGCATCCTCTTACCTTTGTCCAAACGTTCTCTGAAATCCTTGATCTCCTTGTCAGCATGGGATGCACCAATTGCCAAATCTCCCATCACTTCGGCTGCTGCAATGGATGACCAGTCACGACTCAGACTAGTAAGATCTGGTGCCAAAAGATTGATTCCGGCCATTGCTCCGCATCCCGCCATGACAAGAACTGTAATTATCAGCAGGGTGGTTCTTAGCATCAGCCAAACTGCCTGTTTCTCCTCCTTCTGAATGCAGACAGTGATCCCCGGTTGCCCATCGACGACATGGAACTGGTTCCGGGATTCACACATCATATGAAGTTGGAGTGGACGAACTCCAAGCACATGGCCAAACAAGGCTGCAAGTCTTGCTTTCACCCCATCCCTTTCGGTAAAATAGAGAAGGTGAGGCAGTCGATGTTTGTGTTTCTCCACAATCAGTCCCGAGAGTTTGTCCAGCTCTCTGCAGATCCTGGGGAACATGTCTTTCTGAGTTTGCATCAATTTCTTCAGCGCATCCTTCAACTCTTTCACATGGCTGTCAATCCTTACTACATCTTCATGAATCTCATTAAGCTTATGCACAATGGTATCCATCATTGTTTGGAATGGATGGGGCAACCCATCCACAAGCATTGTATTATGGCGGGTCACCCCCTGCTCTGTGCTGGATGGTGCATGATTGTTCTGACCATGCTGCCGCACATCAAATGGGTGCAGCTCATAGTCTCTCATCAGTTGTCTGAGCTGACCGGTCTGCCGGATCACTGACTCGCTCAGTGTTGATGGCCTTACTAGGTCCAGTCCCTTACTCAGAGACCTGGGCAGGCCTCTGCGGATCATGCCAAGGTCGAGCTCAGGCCAACTGTACTCATACTCTACTGACTGCGCGCCCCACTCGCTAATGCCATTCAGGATTTTGATCTCATCTACAACCTGTGAGCTGTGACGGTATTCACGAGGGACAAGTTGTTCTACACACTCTGGGCGGATGATTTTGATTGCCAGGTCGACACCAGGTAGACCAAAGGGCTCTGCGCACAGACGTGTGACCTCACGTAGGATGTGACATTCCACCCAAACTTTGCTGGCATCCCTCGCATCATCCCGACATCGCACTAGAACGTCAACCCAGTCCTCGTGGGCATTCGAGAACTCCAAGAACAACTCAATGCCAGGCCCATTGACAACCACATGGCTCAAGTCTTTCTCGATGGTGTACTGCCCACAGTCTTCCAGCCGATCATGCATTCGCACCTGGTCCAGTTTTTGCCAAGCAAAGGGGTTAGCTAACCGCTCATACACTCGTACGTGGTCCAGTTTTACCATGCAAAGGGGTTACCAACTTACCAAGGAGGAGTAATTTTCTGCAAGGAATCAATCATAATTGTGATTCTGAATACTCTTCCATTATAATGATGAATATGATCCCCCCTTTATCGCCCTATATTGTAGCCGGTGATTGGAACGCAACTATAGACCCCACCACGGATAGTATATCTAGGTCCTCGGCGGGTCAGCCTACACCGGAGGCGGTGCCCATCCAAAAGCTGATGATAGATTACAATCTAGTTGAACCATACCAGACTTTGCATTCGGGGACAAGAGCCTTCACATTGGTTAAAAAGAACCATGCCCACCATACCGCTTTTTCCTTCATCGACTATTTCCTGATTTAAGGGACAGTAATGAGGACAAGCAAAAGCGCCGAGATCCTGGCTCTTGCACCATACCCGGGTCTGGATCATAAACCCATTGAACTAATAATCAGCTTTGAACAGTACGTCAAAAAGGGGTCCAACTTTCACAAACTCAATAACTCCCTCCTACTAAGCCGGAATTTTCAATTAGGAGTTCAGGATTGCTGGCAGAATTTAAATGGCACCTACCTACCCATACAAAATTGATGGGAGTGGTTTCAGGAAAGCTACTCCACATTATCACAGACGGTGGCCAAAATATCAAGGAAATTAGCGGCCGACAGGAAACAGAGGAAGCAAGCAATGGAGACAGCCCTGAAGATCACAGAGACAAATATGATCGATAACCCCTCTTCAACACTCTACAGAGACATCTTTGAAAAGGCAAGTGAAGAACTCACTCTGTGGAGATGGTGGGAACTAAAGGGACTACAAATAAGAGCCAGAATGAACGGATATGAACTAAGCGAGTCAATGTCAAAACACTTCTTCGCAAGAATCAAAGCAAACTCAAGGGCCAATGCGATAGAAGGCCTGAAAACCCTCTCAAATCCAAATGAAACAGTGATCGACAGCGCAGGAATGTTGAATGTAGCAAAGGAATTCTACCAAGAGCTCTACCACACGAAGACCCCTATGCCTACTCCGCCCAGCACCAGAGAGGCACAGACTAGGATGCTGCAATACCTGGAACAAACGATATCTCAAGAACGAGCAGAAGACCTGGACAAGCCCATCACCCTGGAAGAACTGCAATTCGCTGTCCATATATGAACAACAATAAGTCTCCAGGAATCGACAGGCTGACAAAAGAATTATGGGAAAAATTATGGCCGCTCTTAGGAGGAGATTTGCTAAACTTCTACAACGACAGCTGGCTCAAGGGGGGACTGGGAAACCTACTGAGTAGCAGCGTGGTAACCTTGTTGTACAAAAAAGGAGAGAGAGAAGATATCAGGAACTTCAGACCCATCTCGCTTCTAACACTTCCATATAAGATCCTTGCCAAAGCTCTTGCCTTTCGGATCCTAGACCTGACAGACAGTGCTTTCATATAGATCAAACAAGTTTCATCCCTGGGAGGTACATCCTGGACAACGTATTGACTCTCAGCGAAGCAACCAACAAAGTCAAAGAAAAAAGGATAAACACAACAATTCTCTTTTTCGATTTTGAAAAGGCCTATGACCAAGGCAACTGGGCGTTTCTCAATGCTAGCATGGAAAAGGTGGGAGTGGGCCCCAATTTTAGGAAGTGGGTGCACATTCTATATAACGACGTCATAGGGTGCGTCCAAGCTAAAGGCTTGCTCTCTAACTGCTACCCAATCTCTCGGTCAGTGCGCCAAGGGGACCCGCTAGCTCCCCCAATCTTCCTCTTTGTTATGGAAGCAATAGCCTCATTCCTATGCAAAGACCCCTCCATACACAGAATACCAGAGGTCAATGTAGGATCAAACCACCACATACAGTTCCCGACAGTAATAATGTTTGCAGACGATCTCACAGTCGTCATAAGAGCTTAAGACTCATCGTTCAGCGCGTTAGTAACAACAATGAAAGCGTTCAGACTGGCATCAAAAATGAAGATTAATTGGAAGAAAACAATCCGCCGGTGGCAATCGGAGGACGAGGTTCCACAACGTCAAGGCCCTGAGGCAGACATGACATGGGACACACCGGAGACACCTACGCGATATCTAGGCATCTTGCTGACAAAGGATGGCCTCGCTCCTCAAATGGCCCAAAATATACTCACCAAACAAATTAACAAACTGGGCAGATGGGGTAATACGTTCACATCATTGTTGGGGCGTGCACTAGCCATTAATACATCTATTTTCTCTATGATGTGGTATATAGCGTCAATCTGGACTGTTCCGGACCAGACAATCAAGGAACTTAACCGTAAAGCAAGAGCATACTTATGGTCGGGTGACCCAAACAAAGAGAACTGCATACCAAAGATAGCTTGGCATTACATCACAAGGAAACCAGCCAAAGGAGGTCTTGGTATCATAGACCCCAAACAGGAAACCAAAGCCTTACAAGTCATATGGATAGTCAAACTACCTGACTAAACCTGTACGACATGGAATGAAGTGGCCTTAGATAGCATTAGGGCCCTAGCACCTACAGCCACACTAGCAAATATGTGCGGACTGTTCTGGGTAATGACCAAAGAATGGAGTCCAAAGACAGGACGCAGAAATCAACGAAGAGGAACCGAGCCAAATGAAGCCAGACCCCTTACACCATATTGGACTGCATTGTTACGGATATGGCGGGAAGTCATGCCAAGGAAAGTGGGTAGACCCAAATCCAAAGAAGAGGTACTGAGGCAACCCTTGTTTGGTAATCCGTGGGTGAGAGATGAAAGTGATCACCAACTATCCCTTAAGCCTAGAGGAAGGAGATGGTTATCATGGATCAAACATGGAGTTTGGAAAGTGAGCCATCTGTGGAACGAGGAGAAAAAGGACTGGATGACAGACCAGGAACTTGCCTCCCAGCTCAAAGGACGTCACCAACGGGATGAGAACTTACAATCTATTATCAACTGCATCCCAGAAGGCTGGAAGGAGCTGTTAAGCGAAGTCTCAACTTGGAAATCGGGTGAATGGGGAGTGAGGGTGCAGGATTTAACCCCCACAAGAGCCTATCAATTCTCCCATAAACAGCAAGGGTCGGATACCCTGGCAGTGTTTACCTCCTTCCCAATTACCCCCTCAACGCAAGGCCTTCCATCCATCATGAACAAGGAGGTGGAAAGAACAGTCCTAAATCCGTTCATACTCAGAAAGGTTAGAGTGCTGGGTTCATGGCCGAAAACAATCTTCAGAATGGATACGGCGATTCAAGATTTGGAATTTGATCCAGCAGAGTGGGCTTGGACACCAGACCGAAGCAGAGGCCTCAAAGCTAATGTCTCCATTCAGGAATACACAGTCAAGCTGGGTTACAACTTACTCCTCAAAACAAAGGATCCCGAACCAACGATGAAGAACAGATGGCAGAAGCTACTAGGTCAAGACGCCAGTCAGATCCGACAAATACCATGGAAAAAATTCAAGTCAATTCGTCCGGTCAAAATCAGAAGCCTACAATGGCTTATCTCATGCGTAGCTCTGCCGGTCAACCAGTGGTTGCATATCAAAAGCAGCAAGAATGACCCTAACAGTTCAGATTTATGCACGGTATGTCCAGAAGATGAACCGGAAGATATGCTACATTGCCTGATACGCTGTAGAGAGGCGACCGACTACTGGGCAAGGGCCTCGGATCTCTGAGATTCCCTCTTCTCGTTTCCCCTACCTGAACATCCCATCAAACTCCTTCTATGGACTAACATCCCAGCTCAATTCCAGAAGACAGAGAAAACGTGGTTTGGAATGATCAGAAAGGTAACGCTGTGGTCCATCTGGAAGGAAAGGTGCTGTAGAACCATTGAGGGACTCTCAACTCAAGGGAGAAGGTATGGGCGGAGACAAAGACTTTGATTCAGGCGGAGATCCTTTGTAAGTGGCACAAGACGAGACAGTCCATGCCAGATGACGAAGAGCAACAGAGAAGAATCAAGGCAAAATTCACTAAGGTGTGGCTTGCAAGGGGCAAAGTGGCAGAGATAAATGACTCCCACATACGATGGAAAGACTGGCAAAACTCAGAAGCAGGGTGGAGAAGCCAGAGATCCCAGCCAGCAGAAGGACACCATCCAATATTGGAGGGCGAATCCCGAGACTGCAACTTCCGCAGCTCCTCTTACCTTTCTTGCTCTTCATTATTTATCTGACAGGCTCATGTAGTGCTCGCACAACTTCGGCCGGACGGAAGGAAGCGTGAGTGTGTGTTTTGATGTAATATGTCTTTCTGACTTGCCGGTGGAATAGGAACCGGACTAATGCTCCCCCCCCAGAATGGAAATGGAGCCAGGGCCGTAAGGACCTGTTTCAAAAAAAAAAAA